GCTTTAGAGTACTTTATTGCCTTAATGGAAGGACTATGAAAATACTTTCCCCCAGCATTGAATCAAGTTGCATAGAAAATTTGCAAAAATTTGTCATCTTTTTGTAATTGTTTTACAATGAATTTTTCATAGTATATGACTGAATACCTAATCCTGCTTTGTTGTGTTGCTTGCATGCTGCTGCATTTCTGGTACTGTAGCCAGTCTTATACAAGTTGCATGTCTTGTGTCTGCCCTCAAGAGAAGCCACAGGTACCCTGTGCATCAAATTCTTTGGTGACTGCTTTGTGTTTCTCTTTCTGCACCCAAGAAGTCTCAGGGGAGTCTTGAGTGGATAGCGTGTTTTAGCCTCTGCCTATTTTCCAGCTATATTTTGTAGCCTTAAGGCATTTCTCAGAAGGTGAAGCATGAGAAGTGCACTTGGCTGTGCTGATTTTTGAGAAGACAGCAGCCAATGCCCCATCAAGGGGAAGGGAAAGGCCATGAACACTGCTCATGGCAGGAATGAACTGTGTAGTTTCTTGGAAAATGAGAGGAAAGGGAAGCAAATAGAGTAGGCTTTGGCAATAGTCCTAAACAGGTTGAGGAGAAGAATTAGCAACATTAATGATTAATGATAGCAAAGCTCATTCAGCTTGAAAAGTACTTTCTATAAGTGCTAAGTGCTGGCATTAAAAATGTATGCATTTTTGTTTTAATCCACACTTGGCATCTGCAAATGGAGAAGAAAGGGGAGAGCCAGCAGTGTCATTATAGCAGCACTAATACCTCAATACAGCTGAAATCCCAGCTTGCCAAGACACACAGCCTAGGGTCTGGGTCTTGCAGAGCTCAGCCTGTTGTGGTTAGTGATATGGGTTCTCCTAAAGTGTTCCATCACCTGTCCTGCAGAGTTCCAAGCGAAGGCTTGGAAACCTTCTGCGAGTCAACATCTACTAAATGAGCAGTTGTCCTCATAAAACCCCTGCTGAGGAAGATAAAGACTATGTGTTGTCTGTCACATGTGGATTTCTGTGCACAATTAAAAATTTTATAAATACCAATTATCTGATCTGTTTTTCTTTTCCAAAAAATTAACCTGCTTTCTCTAATGTGTGGGAGATGCAGAGAAAGGGAGCTCTAACAGAAATGATTCATCGTGCTATCAAGGTGGTGGCAACTTGCCACCAGAAATGCTGTGGACCAAAGCAGCAGTGATTGTGTGGGTAGGAGGTATAGTCTTTGCTGCAATCAAGCTGCGAGAGGCAAAATCTAGAATAGGTTGTTAATAGAGGTGTCTGAAAGGAGCTGAATAGATAAATGGAGAGGCAGAAGATAAAGAGGTTTGAAGTCTGAACTTTAGCAGCTACAAGCCACATGCCTGAGGGTTAGGCTGGAAGGTGCTTGTTGATGGATTATTTGATTGCACAGGATGAAGGAAGAAGCAGTTTGAGAGAAGTTGTTTTGTGCTCTGACCTGAAGCTAGGCACACCAGCCTTGGCACAGTCAATGCAGTCCTTCACCTTCTCAGGCTGGTGGTTAGTCAGAAGCTACATATCTTTAGTAAATGTCTGGAAATGGTAACTGAAATCCTTGTTTTGCCAATTTGCTGCAGAGTGTGTAATGCTTCTTGCCTCCCACAGAGCTCTATGCAGAGCTGGTGTCATATCTTCATTTTACTCTGCTGTTGGTCTAGCCTCACTCTTTATTCACACATCTGCAAACAGAGTTAGGGACCTCGTTCTGTTATCATCTCCAGTTTGCTTATGCTAGCTGAGCACATAGGCAAGGTGAGAACATCAAAGGGTGCCCCTTCCACTGGGAAGCAGAACGTCGTCTGCTCTTTCTGTGTAATGCTGGGCTGGTAGAAGCTGCATGGCAGCAGCAGAGAGCAGGGTCTTTGTCACTCCCTTGTCTTCCCAAGAGACACCTATGCATTAGCTCTCAGCTTGATGTAGGAAGGATAGAGGTGGAGGGGAGTTGTTGCTCATCAAGAATAACAAGGTTTAATCTGAATTTTCCTTTGGTCAAAAGTATATGCATTTCTTCTCTGTTTTGTTGATACCCAGCCATGCTGTGCCCTGCTGTGCTGGAGGCTACATTTGCAGTTGTGAGTTGGGTAAAATGCTGTGGTTGCTAGGGGAGAAAGTATTAGTATTGCCAATATTTATTATTTGGTCCCCATGGAAACTCTAGTTCTTCAGGGAGTCCTAATTCTCACATTTTTCCTTTCTATGGAAAACTTACTTCTTTAACCATGAAGTTCAGATAGTTGTTTTCCAAGAATAGATGTCAAGATACGCAACTCCCTTTGTGTTCTAGTATGCTTGACAGATGTCTGTCTATGGGGAATTACTGCTTACTAAAATATGTTGTGGCTTCTAGTCACACAAAGATCTTTAGAGTGTGGTTAATCTAAAATCATGTTTTCTTATATTTTCTGCCTCTACATCCTCTTTGATTTGTTCTTTCCCCCATTGTTATTTTTTAATTTGCTGCATATTTTATATTGATGAAAAGCTATTTGGTGAATTTTGGTTTAAGGGCTCTTAAAAGTTTTTTTTCAATCTTAATGATTCCATGATTTGATGGGGAAATGAACTTTGTGTTTTCTGCTTAAAGGTATAACTGTAGCAAAAGCTACAAATGTGTCTTATGGCTGTAAAAGGGACACAGTAGTGCCTGTTTTTTCAAAGTTTGAATTCTTCAGATTTTCAGACTAAAGCTGTTAAAATACTGAGTGATTTAACCTTGGCAGAATAGTTAACTCAGTGTTTGGCTCTCTTACAGTGCCTAAAACAGTATGTGGAACTTCTGATCAAAGAAGGTTTAGAAACAGCAATCAGCTGCCCTGATGCTGCCTGCCCAAAGCGAGGTCATCTGCAAGAAAATGAGGTACACTCTTCCTGCAAAGAGGCTTTTTTCCTTCGATTGATTTAAACAGGATGTTTAAATCTGGCTTGCTTTTTATGTTACAGCTTCATTGTTGACAACATATGTTTTTATTAATCCTTCAAAGGTCAAAAACACTCTGTTTATTTAAAATTACTAGATTATTGCTGTTCCTAATTAGAATTTTTTCTTCTTTTCCTTTTTTCAACAGATTGAGTGCATGGTTGCATCAGAAATCATGCAAAGGTATAAGAAGCTACAGTTTGAAAGAGGTAACACATGTAACACTATCCATTGAAGGCTGTGAGAGCGGGTTTGTTCAGAGCAATTCTATAAATCAGAATCCCTGCATATGTTCTTGCAGTAGCATTGTGTGTTAATTGCTTAGTTATCGGAAAGAAAAAGCCCAAAACCTAAAAAGTAATTGCTTCTGTTCTTGCCTGCATGATTCCCAGAACTGCAGCACTCTGGGAATAAACTAAGGAAAGAAAATTGCTATGTATTATATTTCTAAATAACTAAGGGAGAGAGTGATTTCTATTTTGAGCTTTGCTATTTAAGTTGACTACTAGTGTTACAGGGGCTGGAGAGGAATACTGACCTCTTTCACAGAGCCACGATTATCTCCTGGGTTAGCATTTGGTACAGAATTAATGAGCGGTTCTGTGTGTAAAGATACAAACACATAAGATGACCTTGTGCCTACGGAGATGTGGAATGGTGTAGCCATAGAGAACTTAAAGTTTTGCTAGAGACCACTGCAATTAGCAGGTTTTATTGCCTGAACTGGGCTGTGAAACATGAAATGAGTTATCTGTAAAGAGTACCCAAGAAACAGATAAAACTGTATCTTATGTGGTTGTTAATCATGTGGTTACATTAGGATAGAGGTCAACTTGAAATAGGTTCCTACAGGGCAAAGCATTGTAAAAACACTTTTTGGTGGGTTTAACTGCATAGTATACACTGTATTTAACTTCAAGTACAACTGAAAAAAATACATCTCATTCTCAGAACAAGTTTACTTTGGTGAATGAAAGAGGGCAATTAATTGAGACTCATGAAACTCACTTTGGTTTGGTGCCTGTTTGCGAAGCAGGCCAGATGTATGTCAATCTGTGTCACATAAATTAAAAAGTTCCTTTTGAAAATTTGTGTCTTCAAATGCCCTGCCAGTCAACCTCAGCTGAAATGCATTGTTATGGAAGGCTGATCTTGTATCTGCCTTTGAATTTGGTTCTTTTATGTCCCTTTGCAGAAGTGCTTTTGGATCCATGCCGAACTTGGTGTCCATCCTCTACGTGCCAGGCAGTTTGCCAGCTCCAGGAATCAAGCCCACAGGACCCTCAGCTGGTCCAGTGCAAAGTGTGTGACATTGAGTTCTGCTCTGCTTGCAAATCTAATTGGCATCCAGGTCAAGGCTGTCAAGAGAGCATGCCAATCTCTTTTCTTCCAGGAGAAACAAGGTAAGATATTGCAAAAGATGAAGTATTTAGAAGCTAAAAACTCAAAGAGGCATTTTCCCGATGTTTTGTTCTAAAGCTGTTTCCTTCATTTAGTTGTTCCTGTTCTTTTAAAGCTGTATTCTAAAACTAAGCAGCTCTTGGCAGCCTCACTCTTTGCCAGCATTCCCAGCAAAGCACAAAGGAGCTGTTTGAGCTTTTGGCCTTTTGCCCCAGTGAGAAAAATGTGACATCCAGGCAGCTCATCAGCCTCCCTTGAGAGATGATCTTGTTATTGCTGCTCTCCTGGACAATGTGAGAGTTTTTAATATCATGCCAGACAATGATTTTTAAGATACCCTGCCAATCATCACCTCTGCTGCACATTTGCCCTATGATCTTAAGTTCTGTTTCAAGTGGGCTCTTGTGGCAAATTGCAGCCACTGAATAAGAAAGGCCATTATGTATGAGTTCCACTTCATGCCTGGGCTTTTTCAAAAATGGTGTTGCACTCCTAGGTATCATTAAAGCCCTGCCCAGCCTTGAACTTAGTTACTCATACCTTGTCTTCTTTCAAGCTTTGCTGTAACAGATGACTAGCTAGGATGCTGTCATGATGAGTTCCTGATCAAATATACTAATTTTGGCACATGCTTTTGTGTATGCTTGACAAGAACTGCACTTTGCTAAATTTCATGGCAAGGTAACAAACTTTATTTATTTTTGCTTAGTGTTTTGGTTTCTTTTAGATTTTATTCCATGCTTAATTTTTTTACTCCATCGAGTAAAAGTAATTTTTATTTTCATTATTGTGGAGCATAATGTGTCTGTTAGCAGAATTAGGAGTTTCATGTACATTTTATGTATACAAAGCATTTTTTCTAGTACAGTCACCTCTAGTGTTAATAATTAGCGTGTGCCCTTTTGTCCTGCTATTGGGCAAATCAATTGATTGATTGATCAATGATCAGTCCTGCTTTCACCAAATTGTCCATCAGTCATTCTTCATTCCATCAGTATGTCACACTGGCAGTAGCTGCAGGAATTGTCATTTAAGGTGCATTTTAGTTCTTAGTGAGCATAAAAACTGCGTAGAAAGCTACACAAGGGAAATAAAAGTTATCCCACTGTTTCAGCATTCCTCTGTGTTGTGCCCATGATATGAAGGAACACCTGCAGGTTTGCACAACCTTGTGCAAGAACAATCAGTGGTGACCCTAACTCATGAGCTGTGACTTGTTAGGAGTCTGTCAACAGAGACAAAGTTTAACTGAAAGAGCAATATGCACCAAAATCTTCTTGTTCTTGATTTGGAGGGAAACTCCTAGGCAGGATCCTCCAGGTGAGCACAGAGAAGTAATATCCCTGATGCCCTAGTCCAAAGGAATGTGATCTAGGGCTTTTGTGCAATCAAGGGATTGTTTCTTTATCTGAGAAAGAAAGGAGAGAAAAGGAAAATAATCTAGATGTATAAAATATTAAGGTGTGAGCTACCTCCTTCTCCTCTGGTACATTACAGGGGAAAACTGTTTAATATCTATTATTATTGCTAGATAACAAAACCAGATGTTTTTTTGCATGGTAAATAAAATATCCTAACTTTTATGTAGCCACTATAGTCATTAAACATCTTTTCCTAGAGATATGTTTGAAAAGCATTCTACAGGCATAATATCTGAATAATAAAATAATTTGAATTCCTGAATCTCTAGTAATTTATCTTTTTTTAAGCAAAAAAAGCAGGCTTACCTTCTTAGCACAATTCTTAGACATTCTTCTCTGAACTGACATGATCATGCATTTTGCTAATTTCTCACTCTCTCCCACAGTTCAGTTTTCAAAATGGAAGATGATGATGCTCCAATCAAACGCTGTCCAAAGTGTAAAGTTTACATTGAACGAGATGAAGGCTGTGCCCAAATGATGTGTAAGAATTGCAAACATGCCTTTTGCTGGTACTGTCTGGAATCTCTTGATGTGAGTACATGCCATACACTCTTGGCTCTCAGAAGCTTAGTTCATTGCTTTGCCATCCAGCTGTCTCTTTAATCAATTAAATAGCTCACTAGCTTCTGGCCACAACTCATCAGAGCTGGTGCTGAGAATTTGATAGGATTTGTATCCTCTGTTTTACTTATCTGACCTGTGTGAATTTAGCATTTGTTCTGAGTCAGTAAATAATTATTAAAAAGTAAAATTTTATGACGCTAATCTGTCTACAATCTTTACATGGCGCCTAACATAGGGAAGGGTGTTGCTTTTTTTTTCCAGTGCTGACTTTTTGATGTCTTTCTTTAAGGCATTACAGTATGAGACTAGCAATACTCTTAGTCTGAGGATGTTTAACAAACTAGATGTGGTATGGTATGTCACTAGCAGTCTAATTTGTTTACCATTCATTGTATTCCATGGGACAAGAAATATATCTGACATAGGAGAAAGAATACAGTGTTCTCCCAACAGCAGGAATTTATTGGTCTATAAGCTGCTGCTTTCATATGTTTATAATTTTTTTAAATCAGCCTGTTATCATGCTCACAGATCAGAGTATTTGCAATACACAACATCTGTTTCCATGTCATCAGTTTTGCTTTATTATTGTTAACAATAGCAAAGGAAATTAGGTTCCTGAGAGCTACTCCAGCTATTCAAATCTTGTGGTTGTCCCATTTGAATACTTTACTAACAATCCTGAAGTTACAGGCTTCTCACATGCTCTCACAGATAAAAAAGGAGTGTTTCCTTAGAACTAGACTTGTTATCTTGTCTGGTTTTTGAGAGGCTGACAGAATTGATAGGAGTCTAATATCTCAAAAATCTGTTTTGTCATTCTGTTCTTCAGCTAGATAAACCAACTTTGGGAAGTCTGCAGTACAAGTACTGATTTTCCTTTGCTCTTGCTATATGTGTGTAAAATACATGCAGTGGTCAGCTTATCTTCTTGTATTTTCTTGCTAAACTTCATGCTAGGGTTTAAATATGCAGCTTTAGACCCTTTGGGAGAAGAATTTGTTATATATCTATAACACGCCAAACAAACCTGTTTTTGAGGATACCTAAGTGGAAACAAAGCACTTTGGAAAGGTTGGACATGGCCATGTCCACTTGGTTTTACTTCCTATGTGATTCCTGGGTTTAAGTTGTCAGAATATAGTGTTTTGTAACTTGAAGAATTTCTGTTTATTGCCTACCTTCTCATTTAATATTTGTAGGATGATTTTCTCCTTATACATTATGACAAAGGACCTTGTCGAAACAAGCTGGGGCACTCCAGGGCATCTGTTATCTGGCACAGGACGCAGGTAAAGCTCAGATCTTTGAAAGCTCTCTCTACAGGTCTACTACTGTCATAGTGCCTCATTTTAAATCCTTAGGATAAATTCTGTGCCAAATTTTTGTAACTCATTTTTGTAGCAGATAAAAAGAGGGCAGTAACTTGGAGTGGAACAATTAGTTCTCCTAGAGGAGTCCCTCCTTGGCAAAATGCCTGAGATAACCAGAAGATGTATGCTTGCAGAGCCAGTTCAGTGCCAGTCTAGATTGTTCTCACTGAATTTGGAGGATGAACTAGGTTGCCACCATCAGTATTATTTACAAGGAAGCTCTTTTTGCAAGGCATTTTTAGCTCTGGATCCAGAACTGGAAAGGAATTAACATGAATACATACATTATCTTGCTGTGGTCTCTGACTCCTTCCTGTTGGTTGGATAGAAAGTAACCCTGATGGTTTATCAGCAATTTCAAACACAGATTCAAACTGACAATTGCAGAGAGTGTAGGAATATCTCTTTTAGTCTAAATTCAGTGTTGCTAGACTCAGCAAGAGTGCTGGCAATAAAAGAGTTCTCTGCAGCACTTTGATGCATGCAGTGTAAATGCTAATGTGTGACTTGGTCCAATCTACTGCCTTTACAGTCACTTCAGAGATAGGGGGACATCTGTGTATCTGAGTCATCTCTTCCTAAATTTACTGTGTGCCTGGAAAAAGCTACCTTAGCTTGAGAGAGGTACTTTTCTTGAGGTACAGACTTCTTTCCATGTGAGCATAAACCCCAAGTCTATAGAATAATCATCAAGTCTGGATAAATAGCTAAACTGAAATAAAAGGAGAAGGATCTCGCACCTCTCCTTTCACCCTTACCACTGGGTATCTGAGCTGTGGACTGGCTTTTGCTTGGATTAGCCAATGGTATCTCAGGAGGAGTGTGGGTACATTAAGTTTACTTGATAAACCTGTAGTATGTGGTGATTAATCTGATATTTGGAATATTTTCTAAGTCACTGCAGTTTGTGCAAATATGTTTGATGTATGGAATGCTTGATGATCTGGTCATTGTTGAGAAAGAAGGTGATATTCACTACTAGTCAGGATGTAATTCAGCTAAACCCACTGAAACCAAATCAACACTGCAATTGTTTCCTTATATTAACTTTGAGTAGGTTGTTAAGGTTCTTAGATTTATCCAAAGCAAATTGAGGTAAGTCTTTGGTTTGTTGTTTGTGGATTTAAAAAAATATTTGTTTTGGCCAGAGAAAATGGCTTGATGCCTAGTAGGGCAGCAATTTCTTCAGAAGAAAAAGAACCAAGGAACAAGTAAGTAAATACTCAGCGGGCAGTTTTACTTAAAAATAAACAACACCCCCCACCACACACACACACACACAAAACCACATCAAAAAACAAAACCAGCAAAACAAAAAAATTAAAACTCAATGATTTCTTTGATGGCATATTGAAGTTGAAAGGAAAGTGTAAATAGATTTTTTTATATTAATTACCAGTAGTCAGTCTAGTCCATTGAATATCCAGCTTCTAGCTTGGCTCTGTCTGACCAGTGCAGTCAGCCTGGGTTGCAAAGAGCAGCATGGCAGTAGTTGCAGCTCATGTTTTTTTAAATATGAGAATTTAACTTTCCTTTCTGGGAAATAAATGCAGAGATTAGTAGAAGTTCCATCAGCTTGTCAGCACCACCACCAAAAAAA